AACTAGACCACGAATCTTGGTGTGTAACGTCGCAGAGTTCCTGTCGTACTGTATTTTTCAATGGGAAACCACTCAACGCCATTTCTTGCAATCTTTCGTGATTTTTCTTCTCTGTGCGAAGAAAACTGTTTGAAAACTTGTAAGAATAATACTGATTTGTTCTCTTTCAAAAAAGAAAATGGGAGCGGGGATTTTTGAACATCGCAGACGAGAAACGTGGTCTTGTAGTTTTACCGTCGACATGATCACTAGATTTGCACCAATGGGTTGCTGTTGAAGTTTTATTTGGTCACGGAAAGGAAACTTTAGAAAACTTTTTGACGGCCTCCTGTGGTATGCTGCCGTGCTGAGGAAAAACGCCGTATGAGCCTTCAGACGTTGCCAAATTTCCTTTCATAAAACGCGAATTTCCTGGTAAATTTATTAAATATTTACCTCCCAATTTTTCAGATAATTTCGTTCACAATTTTACCTAAATATTCTGAAAATTTAAAGTAAAAATATCAATAACTTTCCTCAAAAATAAACATTTTATCGAAGAATATTCGGCAACTCTCGAGTGTTTATACGGCGTTTTTCCTCAGCACGGCAGTGATTGTAGCGCTTACTCAATGATCGGGAGGTCCCGAGTTCGATTCCCGGCCAGGTGACCCGAGTTTGATGGTTTCGAGCAACAGTTATCGAGGGTTGGCTTGATCAGGGACGGAGAGGGATGGGACTCTTAGGGACGGTAAAGCGCAGGATTAACCCTCGTGGGATACTGGGAGTGTACAAAAAATAATAATAAAAAATAACATTTATGGAAAGAAAGTATTCTATATTTATCACCCGTTATCATTAGCTGTGGTTAAAACTGCACAGTTTTAGCATGAGCAAAATTTAGATTGGGGGCTCTCTTGTTTTGAGAGCAAAAATAATTGGTTTTCCATCGTAACATCCCGCACACCTCGTCAAAAAATAAGTCGTCACATATCGAGGAGCGTGCATTCTTTTTTGTTTTACAGTCAATCTTCGAATATTACTGTATTTGAATAATTTTATTTATGGCACGCAAGAGTGATTGCATAATAAGTCACCGGTTGAGAGCATTTCACCGCTGGTTCTGCGACCGCAAGCCAGTAGCTCCTTCGCTCTGCAGATACAGATGAGCGCTTTGGGTTTTTTTTTCATGAATGATTCACGCATGAAAAATTCGGTTTGCAAAAACGCAGTTCGTGCACCAATCCGACGTTTTTCCGCAAGAGCGCTGGGTGTTTTTCAGTCGCTCCACGATTTAATTGCGCGGAACAAGGAAGAAAACCGTAATTACTCGTAATTATCCTCCTGTTTTTCGCAATGGGACAGATGCGACTGCACAGCATCACGTAAATAAATAATAGAGTTATTTGTGCCGCGGAAATTGGTTCCGTGAGTTTCCCTAACCATAAAGTACTCGATACGCAAGCTCTGCGGTTCTCAGGAACTGTTACATTTCATCAATGAACATGTTTTACCTGCAGAGGGTATTTGTATTTTTCTCGCGTTTAAGATGAAACATGTTTTTAATTCCTAAAGGTAATGTAAGTTTGAGGAAAATTATCGACATGAAAGTCATTAATTACCGCGAACCACCCTTATTAAAAGAAAATATCGGAGGGAAAAACCTAGAACGTTTTGGGTCAAACTTGGCAGAGGATTATCTTTCTGATGAAAGTGGAGACTAAAACTACTTTTTTCACGCCAAAAGTCAAACTCAAAATACATTTTCGTCTCAATTTGTCGTTAAATAAATGCCGTTTCTTACAAAGTACATTTCTTTTATCACCTATGTCTGTTTCAAGCTAAGAATTTAATCACGCATCCAAATTAAATAGCCGAACATTATTTCCAGATGTGTTATTTTCCGTGCTAAGACTATATTAATATTTTTTCATTATAAGCAACACTGCTAAAACATTGGAGACCATTAAACCTCGTCAACGGGTTTGCGTGTCAGTTAACAAACGGGAGCAGATTCGGAGACTTTAACGCTTGGAAAGGAAAATAGACGCTAAATAACTCACTCTGATGTACAAAATATTAATGACCACACATATTTTTATAAACTTCAATATTTCTCATAGTCGCCAGTTCTTTCTAGAAAAAAAATTTGAAGATGAATTTATTTCGTGCATTGATTGCTGATAAAGACTAATATTCTCAAATTATAATGTCCCTATGTTTGCCTTGTTCTTACTATGTTCACATGTTAGGATTACTTAAAACGTATATTTTCTTGTAAGTTCTAATTGACAAGTTGAAATTTTCGAGGATGTGAGTCTAAAGTCAAGGCACCACGTAGTAATAATTACCTAAACCGGTGAAAATAGATTATTAATATATATTAATTATCTAATATGCAAGAAAGGAATTAAATACATTTTTAAATCTCATAACGTAAAAAAGACCAATCAACACTTCATCAAGTGACAATGTACAAATTAAAACAGCACTTACCACTCGAATAAGAACTTTACTTAGCTATTTTCATCGAACACCGAATTCCAGAAATGTATTGACCCCACTAGATTAGAGTGATTCTTTGGAAAACTGTTCGACACAAGAATTGGATCCATACTCACAGACTGACGGTTCAAGAGCAACTAATTTGACGGAAAATTGGTTTTCCTATTTTTGCTAAATTTTCGTTGCCACGGTCAGCAGTGGCCGAGATCGCTGAAGCAGCATTCAGAAGGCTCCATTGATCGACGAAAGAACACCATTACACAACTTTACGTCTTTTTTTGCTGACAAACGCATGATGCTCTCTGTCACCCGAGACCGCGACATGTGTAAACAAAGCCGGGGATACTGACCACTCTTAGTCTGTTTAGACTGTATCGCTGTGGGTCTACATCTCACAGGTGACTGTTCTCAGAACAAGCCGGGCACTTTGTGTGCGTGCTCTCGGCTGAAATCAGTTTTTGTACTTCCGCCCCAGAGCCAAAATTTCTATTTGAACAATTTTTTACCCCAGTTCATATATTTTGATTTTTGTATTCCTCAGAGGAATCTGCCCACAATAAATCACAAGACAAGATACGAATTTAAGCATTCTGATTTATGTTTCATAATTAGAATTTCGTGCAAAACATGATTCTTGCATCGAAAATCACTGAAATTAACTCCTAACTAGGATATTCATGTTTTTATTTTACATTGGTTATGAGTAATTTGAAGTGCCCGGTCAAAAGAAACTCAATACTCTGCGTGAGTCCAATCGCGTGCTACAACGGTTTCGGCAGGCTTCTCAATCGAGCGTTGCTCCTTTCCTACCCACTATCGTTCAAAGTGTAAACAATTAGCTGTAGCTGAGCTGAAGTATCAAGAATTTTCATATCGCAGTGATTGTCATGGTAAAGTTTAGTGTTCGATTTGATTTACGTACTTGGACTATTTTGTTTTCATGAGCGGGAGGTTTGAATTCACACGTCTAGAACCATTACATATCTCAGTTAAGAGTCAATTTCAGTAATTTTCATTGAGTGCTGTCTGATTAGCGAAACTGGACGGTCACACGGAGTCCAGCGCTCTCCCTCATCATCTTTGATACTCTCCTTCGCTTATTTGTTCTAGTGTTTAAGTCGTTTGCGGTCTCTTTCCAGGTCTAACACTGGTTTAAACATGAATTCAAAGGCCAATCTTGGCGAAAATATCACATTCGACCGCAAACCTGCAAAACCTGCATTTTTTGCTAAAATCGGCTTCAGATACATAGGGCCAGTATTAGACCCGTAATGAGGCCGAAATTGACCAAATAATGATAAATTCCGCAAAATATAGTCCTCTAATCAGCAAAAAATTGAAGTGTTCAGGTAATTCAGGGTGAGCCCGAAAACAGCCCTTATCGATATCCCTCCTTTCTAGGCTTAACACACCTTTATGGGCAACTCTGCCGTGCCGACTGCTAAGGAGGAACGCCGTATGAACATTCGAGAGTTGGCAAATTTCCCTTGATAAAAAATCTATTTTTGACAACATTCAAGCATATTTTTCCTTGAGATGTTCAGATATTTTGGATTAAATTGAGTACAAAATTGCCTGAAAATTTTGGAAAATAACACTCGCAATTTTCTCAGTAAATTCGATTTTTATCGTAGGAAACTTGGCAACGTCTAAAGGATCATACGGCGTTCTTCCTTAGCACGGTCTGCCGTGCTAGCTGCTGAGGAAAAAGCCGTGGGAACATTAGAGAGTTGTCAAATTTCCTGTGATAAAATGTTTGTTTTTGAGGATAGTTCTGAATAATTATCTTAAAATTCTCAAATAATTTAGATCTACACCGAGTGAAAAAACACGGTCCTTCTGCGGTTACCACGGTAGTAATGTCACACGAGATTCCATGGTAGTAGAGCCGTGGACTTTGGTAAGCTTGTTGATGAGCATGGCAGCATAACCATGCTCAGAGTAGTATTATTGTGCTCCCAGAAATATTACGGTGGACACGGTAACATGACCGTGCTCATCATGCAATCATCAAAAGTCAAGGTTCTACTACCATGGAATCCCGCGTGACGCACTACCGTTGTAACCATAGAATAGTCGTGTTTTTTTCTCCGCGTAGTTACAAAGGAAATTCTCTGAAAATTGAACGGAAAATACTCAGAAATTTTCCTGAAAATTTGTATAGAATCAACGGAAAGGGGCACGTCCAAAACGGGCCATTTCGGGGTCGGGGCGGATACCTTTGGGACTTGTTCTATTCATTCACCAAACAATGCCCGATCTTTTCCCAAACTTTCAAGCCCCCCAAAAATTTCGCTGGTTTTTAACTTTGAACCCTCGCCGCGTCTTCCCAAAATTTTTGGGGGGCTCGAAACTTTGGGAAAAGATCGGGCATTTTTTGTTGAACGAATAGGGCAAGTCCCAAAGGTATCCGCCCCGAGCCTGAAATGGCCCGTTTTGCACGTACCCCTTTGGCGACTGCCGAGGGTTCATACGTGGTTTTTCCTTAATTTGAAGAGATGCGAGAGCGGACTTACTCTGCATGAGCTGCCTCAGTTCCTGAAGGGACTGCTGTCGGAGCTCGGGGGTCTCACGAAGCTCGGTGAGGGCGCGCTCCCTGTAGACCTCCTCGTACTCGGGCTCATCCTCGAAGCGGAGAACGTAGTCCCCGAGGTGGACGCACAGGTCCTCGCCGCTGCCGCCACTGCTCCCCATCGCACCACCCCGCACTCACCAAAGCCCGAGATCCGCACGCAAGACGCACACGCAAGACGCAAGACGCACACGCAGGACGCAACAACTGGCCGAGTCAAAGAACCTCCGCACCGCGACGCCGCCCGAACAACACTGACATTGCTCCGCGGCGCCGCTTCCAGACGCTCTTATACTCCTCCCCACCTCCGCCCGCCGTCGTCCCGAGATCGGGAACCGAAGATCGGGATCCATGGAAATGCGCCCCTTTGAGCAGCCAATGATCGAAAGGTATGAGGACGTGGAAAAATTGCATGGAGGGAGAGGGGAGGGGGGATTAAAAAATTTAAACATGCCCTAAAATATAAGATTGCATCTTGCAATTCATGAAAAAGAAAGTTCGGTTGCACGTTATGTTGTAAAGTTCGGTCCATACTGCCGTGCTGAGGAAGAATGCCGTATGAAAATTCAAGAGTTGCCAAATTTCCATTGATCAAACATGTATTTTTGACGACACTCATGCACATTTTTCTTTGAAATTATCAGATATTCTAGATTAAATTGCGTTCAGAATCGTCTGAAAATTTTGGAAAAAAATATTCAAATTTTCCCAGTAATATAAGTTTTTATCGAAGGAAACTTGGCAACGTCTAAAGGCTCTTACGGCGTTCGTCCTTAGCACGGCAGCATATTATCACAACCAATTCGGTTTGTCAAACCAAATTTTCAGTTCATCAAACCGAACTTAAACGGGAAAGTGAACTGACAACTTAAGTTCAGTCATATGAACCGAATATCCGGTTACACGAACCGAAAGTTCAGTTTGACAAAGCGAATAGTTGGGATGATATAGAACACCGAAAGATTGGCTCATATGACCGAACTTTTTTTTCAGCTTTTTTTTAAATTTTAACTTCCGCCGCCGTGCCGCGCTGGCCACGCTGTATTTGGCGCAATGCGTGAAGTATTCATGTAGTCTTGTAGGCACTGTGCGTTTCACGCCGCGCCGACCGTTGTTGACAGTACTGTGCTTGACGCAAGGCGTGAAGTATCCATGCAGTCTCGTAGGCGCTAATATGTGTTACATGCCGACCGCCGCGTCGAGGGTTTCTCCTTTTCATCTAAAGTCCTCGTCATCATTTCTCTTTGCGCCGCGCCGCTCCAGGCCAAATTTCGTGTTTGGTTTTTCTCTTAACTCAACTAATTAAAGGTGCGCAGTCTTTTGTATCACCCAAATACGACAAAATTAGAAATTAATGAACTCTCAGGAAATGAGAGATTTTGTCACCTTTTCTGGTTTGTATTTTTTTCTGAATCCGATTTTTTTTGTACCTGCATTGAAAAAAATTGCAAAATTTGCCGCCCCCTAATTATGCCGCCATGGGCCGCGGCCCATGTGGCCACCCCCTTAATCCGGCCCTGCCCTCATATGTGACCAAAATAATGCCTCCGATGGATATCAGAGTTCAAATCAACCATTGAATTCGACATTTCTCCAAAACAGTGTATCGAAGATATTCTCATAGTAATTTTGGAAAGTGATGTTCGTAATGTCAGTCTGGTAATATCAGAAATGCCCTTTTTAGGGAACGATCATGAGAAATTGTAAAAATGTATCGTAGAGATATTATCGAAGATTTGTTAATGTCTGGAATGCCTTTTCAGGGGACAATCATGAGAAATTGTAAAAATGATACCCAGGCCGTCACTTGTTCTGGGCAGAGGAAGCATTTTCTATGGTTAAAACGTGGCCTTTTCATTATTTTGGTTAATTTCAATACATTTTAGGGCACATTTGAGATTTTGAAGTCATGCGATTCTTTGCCTCTATGAAATCATTTGTTCTTCCTAAAAGTTGGCTAAATTAGTGATTAGTGTGGCCGCATGATGTCAAAATTTCAACAACAAAAAACTCATGAATCTGTATGACCGATCTTGTATGGCCGAGCAGTTTATCAGTCTGAAGATCCTGTTATTTTGGCAGGAAATTTATGGACCATTTATGGTTAAATCAAGCTCTAAGCTCATGGTTAACGCAGTATTAATTGAGAAAGTACTTAGTAGATTTGTAACTCATAGCAACTTCAAGCACAAGCCAAAACCATCGTGTCTTGATAGCCCGCGAATCGTACAAGTAATAACTAATAGTGATCTAACTTATCGAAAAAGTTACTTCATAAACCGCTCTATGGATACAATTTTCATGACACAATTGGACTATTTGGACTATTTGCAAGAAGGTATTACTATATTACTGGAATTCTGGCTCATCCTTAATATCGCCAATCTACTCCGGGGAATTAATAGCACTTACGGTGTCTCTGAAAAGAATCAGAGATAAATGTTCCTTTGCTGTAAAATATCGTTTGATCAAAGAATAGGTGCTGTAAAGTGGTGAATGACTCAAAAGACTGAACTTTTTTTGGTCATCTGAGTCTCTTAATGATATTGCAAGGGCAAGTTTCAATATTATGGGGGTATCATTAAGGGAATGACAGAAGAGGGAGCGGAGCATTCGCTTCGTAACAACAAATTTTGTCTTCTTTACAACAAATGAACCGAATTTATCAGAAAGGAACACATCCATATCACATTAAATTGAGACCGAGAAAAGCTTTGAAGTTTTATTCCTCCATAAGTGTAGAAAATAAACTCCGGCCCCTCTTTTCATAAACTAATTTTCTTTGTCGACCTTGAGTTTTTGGCAGGTGAAAATATACGATTAGAAGAACTCATAAACATTCTCAACTCAATTTTTTCGAAAATATGGGTTGGTTCCTTTCTGATAAACTCGGTCCAACTTATGCTAGATGGATGTGACCTGATCTCATGAATGACCTTTGAAAGATGAAAAAATTACCTACAACCACGGTAACATGTTCATCATACATGCAGCAACGGTCAACAACTCCATAGATTACTCACTTGGAGGCTCCCGCTCTGATCGTACGAAGACGACTTAACACCTCGGCCACCGATTTATTTACTTTCTCGATTCCATAAAACAAGTTTATTTGATCGAAACTGCCAGACTCTCGAAGGAACTCCAATTTCAACACCAAGATCGATCCCAGGCTACACGGCTACGAAGACAGATGAACAGGACTAGACGATAGGCTACCCTTAAGGTCGCTCCTTTGACATAAGGACGTATCTCGATTCCTTCGTGAGCCCTAGAGAGCACGGGGTTATATGAAGGACAGAGCTCACGTGGCAATAGAGATGCGTCTTTATGGATGGACGATATCTAGTCCACTTTACTGGCCCGATGTCCCTGTTCAGGGCAGTGACCGGTCGTGGAGGGACCGGACAATATTTGCATAACGCGGGCTAATTATCCGGCGAGGTGACCGACGCTCGGCGTCGCGGCGCCGGCGCCCGGGGCTCGCGCATGCGCAACGACGACGCCCTCGCTACGCGCTGATTCTCGGCTGATAATCGGTGGTTAATGAGCGCCGGCATCGGGAGACAACGCCAATTACAATTGCAGTTGTAGTTGCAGTTGCAGCTTGTAGCTTGTGGCTTGTGCAAGCGCGAGCCGGATCATCGAGACTCATCGGTCACGGCAGATTGATCCACGCTGTTGCCGTCCATTTCCACTCGCGTAAACGCTCCAGTCTTATTTGAGAGAGCAGTACTCCCGTCTTAAAGAATAACACCGTATCAACATTCGAGAGTTGCCAAATTTCCTTCAATTAAATGTTCATTTTTCAGGAAAATTATGAATACGTTTCAGGATTTTCCTGATTTTCCCGATTCTATCAGGATTTAAGGCCAATCAGGGTTTAATCCCAATTTCATCAGGATTTGAGGAAAAATCGGCCGTAAAATCAGGATTTGAGAAAAGTCGGCTGTCCGATCGGTCCGATCTGGCTCATTAGCGTGTATTCACATTTTCATTAATTCAAATTTGTTTTTAATCTTTAGGACTTAATGTTTGAGTTCTGCTTTCGCATACGCTTATACAGAAATTTTAATTTTTCTTCTCAAAAAATCAAGATTTGATCAGGATTTGGGAATATTATGAAATCAGGATTTCTTCAGGATTTCCTAAGATGAAAAACCACTAGACACCCTTCTTAATATTTTCTATTGAAATTTTTAGATGATATTGACCTAATAACGAGGAAAATTCCCTGGAAAGTTGAACCTGAAATATTCACAAGTTTTCCTGAAAATTCGAATTTTATCGAAGGGAATTTGGCAACGGACGCAGGTTCATACGGCGTTCTTCCTTAGCACGGCAGAGTAGGTGTAAAAATGAGATTTTAAGGAAATTGATGCGGACAATATCGATGGCCGAAGTGCAAAACCACGGATCTCCGTCCGTCGCACAGTAGATCCAGTCGATAGAACAGGTCGGACAAAATTCGGAAACTTTAAACGCTTATAACTCCATTTATACAAAATTTTACGGCTCTAAAAGTGGTTCCATTGGTTTTCTCGTGAAATTTTCTTCATAAGGCACCCCATAATATGTAAAATGTGACAAAATGAACATCAAAATTTGCAGTTTTAGTCAAAAGTCATGTCCGATCTCTCTAATTGACTCGATCCACTGTGTGCCGTTGCCCCGTGGTTTCGATTTCTTCCGTAACTTGGAATTGAAGCCACCAGGAACTTAATTCAGCCTTGATCTCTTAGCATCCATCTTATTTACCAATCTATATCATTTCTGGTCATTTATTGAAGTTTATTTGGTGACCGGGTTCGTTTTTATTTCAATTCAATTTGGTCTTTTTACCGTTCAGTTTTTCGTTTGATTCATTCAAGCAATAACAAAATGAAGAGCACTTCTAACTAGAAAATTGGAAAATATCTTCACGTTTTCCAGCTATTCCATGATTTTCTAGACGAAGCACTGCTTTCCTAGCGAGAATCTCACTTCAATTTCCTCCACCAGGAACCTCGCTGGCATAGCAGTGCTTTGCCCAAAAAATTGTGAAATCGCTGGGGAAAGTGAGGATATTGGTCGGAAAATATACCACCATAAAGTGTACTTGCCAGAAAGTTGAGATTTTTTCAATCTTCAGAGGAAATATTCAATTTCTGCACAGATGCACGCACTAAGAATGACGCAATGGTCCGCAAACCGTCTACAGAGATAAGTTTCTCAAGGGGTAATCTATGTATGTCAAAAGGTAGTGAAAATGATAAGAAACTGCC